TTTTCTCATATTTAAGGGCATAAATTTCCTTCAAAGCATTATTTTGCCATATTCCAGAAGTTTCTTTATGTGTGTTTTCAGTATCTTTCATTTATTTTTAAATTACAGTATGATTTGGTCTTTACTCTTGAGTCACTTAAGAATTTCTAAATATATAGGAAATCAAGGACTCTATGAAATGTTTGAAATTTTTTTGGGGGGAGGAGTTGGTTTTAGTATTTTTTCTGAGTACATGATCAATATTTATGTACGTTCCATACGTACTTGGAAAACTGTGTGTCCTCTAATTTGTAGATGTAGAACTATATACATGTATTAGGCCAAGACTTTACTTTTATTGTTCACATCTAGAACATTACTGATTATTTTTGTCTACTTGACTTTTCAAAAAACAGGGAGAAATGTGTTGAAATCTCCCAATATGTTGATGGATTTATTAATTTCTCCTTGTAGCTACAAACATTTTGTTTCATATTTTGAGGTTATTCTATTAGGTACAAGCCTGCTCATAATTGCTGTGCCTTTTTGGAGTATTGAATTCTTTATTATTAGATAGTGACTCTCTCTAGCCCTAATTTTTCTAATTTTAAAGCCTATTTTCTCTGATATTAATGTAGTTCACTGGTTTCCTATGGTTATAATTTGCTGGACATATCTTTTCCCATCTTTTAATTTTCAATCTTTTGTGTCCTTTTGCAATGTAGTGGTGTCTCTTGTAAGCTACATAGATCTAAATACTGTCTTTTTAACCAAACTGTCAACCTTTTAGCTGAGGAGTTTGACCTATTTACATTGATTATTCTTATTGATATATTTTCATCTGTTCCTCTCATCTTATTTTATTATTTAAGTGAGTCCTATATTTTAATATGTTTTTCTTTAGTAATTTTTTTTTTTTACCACTTTCACATCCATTGGCTTTTTTACTACTCCAATCCAATCGTACTGATATTATCTAGACTTTAATACTGACTTATATGGTTATACATTTCATTTTTTTTTTGCGGTACGTGGGCCTCTCACTGTTGTGGCCTCTCCCGTTGCGGAGCACAGGCTCCAGACGTGCAGGCTCAGCGGCCATGGCTCACAGGCCCAACCACTCCGTGGCATGTGGGATCTTCCCGGACCGGGGCACGAACCTGTGTCCCCTGCATCGGCAGGCAGACTCCCAACCACTGCACCACCAGGGAAGCCCTATACATTTCATTTTATCTTTGATTTTGATTCCCTTCTTCTTTTTTAGACTACAACCACTTTACCAAGATATTTGATTATTTTTTATGACATATTTTATTATATCATATTTACTTCATGCAAAACTGTTTTCAGTGTTAGTCTTTGAGGGAAAATATTCTTAAGCATTTTATACCTCTAAGAATATTTTTCATCATGACCTCATATGTGGATGATATTTGGGCTGGTTATAAAACTCTGTATTTTAAGTCCTTTTCTTTAAACATTTGAAAAATACTGATTCACTTTCTTCTTTCATCCATTTTGCTATTGAAAAATTTTTATGTTAATCAGATTCTTATTCCTTTGAGCATAATCTTCTCTTTTTCTCTTTAGGCTTTTCGATCTTTCTCTTTGTCATTGTATACTCTTAAATTTCACTATAATGTGTCTGGGTGTACATTTTTCTTCTTTGATATTCTATAGGTCCTTTGATTTTTAAATCAAAATAAAACAATGATAAAATAAGGTGAGATAAAATAAAAGACTTTTTGGTCTTTTATTTAGTGTTAATTCTAGGAAATGCATCTCCATTATTTCTTAAAATTTTTCCTTCCTTCCAGTTTTATTTATTCTTTTTCTCTGAGAGTCCTAATACCTGTCTGTATTTTAGTTCTAATAATTCTATCCTACATACTAATTAGATTTTCTTTCATATGCTTTGTTTCTTGGTTCTTTTCATCACCCTCCTGAGAGATTACTTTAATTTGGTAATTCCTTTATTTCTTTCTAAGTATATGCATTATGCTGTTTTCCCATAGTTTTATTTTGTTCAAGTATTATATTTTCATGGCTCCTATTTCTGCTTCATCACTTCAGCCATTTTATGCTTTCTTGTTATTATTTTATATTATAAATTATTACAAGTTATATTATAAAGATATTATAAATATCTTTATTTCTTTTAGAATGTACACTAGGTCAATTTTAAAAACTTGGTTTCATGTGATCTTTTACTTCTTGTTTCTAAAATTTTTGCTTTTGATGTTATTTCTAACACTCCATATTGTTTAACTTTTAAAATAGTCATTTTCCTCTAACGTTTTGATATATTGACCTGTGAGCTAATTTTCTTTAGGGAATATTGGCTACTCTGAAAGGTAGCATATGTGTGGAAAGGCCAGTGCTCAGTCCACTTAAGTCTCTATGATCTTAGTAATGAGATGTGAATAAAATCTAGGGTAGAGAATCTTGGACATCAGGAACCACTGCCAATCACTTCTCACTTCAAAGCAACTTCTTAGATCAGGAGTTCACTTTTTTCTACTGGAAAGAAGAATTGTCTTGAGGAGTATGTTTTTTACCTTGTTGAAAATATTTATAATTAATTCTTTATTAGATGTCTTTAAAATTTGTGAGTTTATTTCTAATAATAATATTTCCCTATTGTTATGTCAATGATTTTGCTTTTCTGAAAAAGTAACCTGTGTTTTAACCAGAATAATAAATACTTCTTCATAAAATATCTATCCAGTTGCCTACTACTCTATAAAATAAAGCTAAGACTTAGACCTTAATACCTAAGTAACTTATACCTTTAAAAAAAGTAGTTATAATTTTGCTTTGTAAGCCTTTTCCAATGTCTATGTAATCTTTAAATTTTCACTAACACTGTACCCTTATATCTTTTAATGGAGAAAAGGCTCTTTAGATTATGTGAGATGTATTACATACTTTGAAATTGAAACCAATTGTTTAATGATATTCAAAAAGTGATTAGCTATTTACATGAAATAGAGTAGTACCTACAGCATAAAATTAAATAGGATATTAATCATTGTGCTTCAGGGCATAAATTGACAATAACCAAGGTCAGGAGAGGATGTAATATACCCACAGTTAAGCAGGATTAGATTCATTTTCAGAATTCCAGACCCATTTCTAAGGAAAAATGCATTGGGTACGGTCTGACGAGGTAATATGGACCCAGTGAGATGCTATAGTTAGGAATCTATCACTTTATTGTTGCAGTGTATATGTAATATGGCTCCTTTTCTTCTCAAACATTTCTGCTATTTGCCACTGCTGCATTGAAATCCATCGGAATTCAAACTCTTCAGAGAAAAGTGCCCTTTCCCTAGTTCTTTCCCCCTTCCTTCTCCCTCACTCCCTGTCTTTTTGTTCAGCATGTCCATTATGTTTCTCAAAGGCACAGTGGAAATGAACAATTCAGGTTGGTGATGCCCCAGCTTATAACCAACAGGGTTTTCAAAAAAAGATTTCGGAAAATTTTAAATTTTACCAATATAACTAAATGACTCACATGTTAGGGAAATATCTGCCTTTAGGATTTCTTCCTAATTGTGTTGTACTGATACTAACACTCATCATCTATCCAATTTGGTCAACTTTGTCCCTGTCCCTACTTTTCAGATGAGGAAATTGAGAGGGAATAAATATCCCACTTAAGGCACTCCCTTCTAAGGTCCCAGAAGCAAAAATACATTTTAAAACAATGAATTTATATAAAATAAAGATGAGGAGTCCAAATAGAGTAAATAATGAGAAGAACCAATATATGAAAATATACATCAGAATACCATATGCAATCTATAATGTCCTTATTGATATGCACATACACTTAAATATTAGCCTGATTTCCACTGTATTTTCAATGATTTTTTTCCCTCAGAAATATACAATATTATTATATAGTTTAATAGATTATTATGTCAGAAACTAATTTTGGTCTTTCTTCACATTTATTTTCAGTCTGATTTTATAAGTATTAAAAAATTTCCCTCAGTTTGAACTGGAGTTTTACAAAAAGTGGGAATAAGATGTTAGAGTCTCCATAATAATCTGGTTATAGCTTTGCTTGGTTACTTGTATTATTTTTAGTTCTTTAGGAAAGAAAAAAGATACTGCTTATTCAGCTCTTGGTTGACTTCCCAGAAATGAAATAAAGATACTTAGAATGGAAATATTTTAAACATTCAAATCTTATATTTTAAATGTAGCTTGTTCTGGAATAATGAATATTAACTTGAGTTACAAATATTATTTAAATTTTTTTCTTGGGAGATCAAATCAATAAGCACATTTTAACTAAAAATTGGTACGATTTTAAATTGTGTATAAAGTATCTTAGCTTTCTGAAAAATTGTTCCCAAGAAGCACTTTAAGAATTGCAGTGTTGCTATAATTAGACATACCCTATATCCACTAGAGGTAAAAGCAGTTTTAGACTACTTTTGGTTACCAGCTAGGATATTTATAATAATCTAGAACATTAAATGTACATTGAGAAAAGTATGCCTTCCAGGAAGGAAAGAAAGTTTTTCACTTAATTAACAGTGTAGGACACCTCTTGACTGTGAGTTGCTGGTAGCACTGATGGTATTAAGAAGGCTTCCAAAATGTTCAACCATTATACCTAATTTATGATATGCAATGAACTTTCCAGCTTTGCTAATATGTATATTGATTTTTGTCAAAAATGATATTTTCAATCTTTTTCATTTATAACCAGGTAATGTGCTGGATCAAATTCCCATAACTTTGTAAATATTAATCAAAAATTTTCTTCGTGAGTGAACTAATTTCTCCTTTTGCTTAAATACAAATAGCTTTTTTCAATATAACTTATCCATAAGCATGCCACAATGATTTTACAAAGTTAAGGCATACTCACTTTTGTTTAAAATTAAAATGCTATATATTACAAATTACTATTAATAAAGTGGTAAATTTAAAACGAACATCTAAATACTTTGTCAATATCCAATGAAGATTTGATTGATCTTTTCTTCCTTTTTCCTCTAAAGCTTTCTGGAAGTATTTTGGATGTGTATAGTGGTGAGCAGGGAATTTCACCAGTTAATATGGGCCTTACAAGTGCTTCTTGTCCAAATAGTCTACCAATGAAAAGAGAAATTACAGGTAACATTGCTTTTATAGTTTTATCCTTTTTAAAAATCAACTACATAAGACATGAGTGACATATTTCCAAGCTAAAGAGGATTTTAAAAATATTATTAAAATAGTTAGTTAAAATGGAAGACATTTAGAGAGTAAATCCATCTTTTTTTCCTCTATGACAACCAAACAGCAAGTTAGCATAACTTACAGTTCAATTGAATTAATTAATTATTTTAGGAATTGGGTGAATATACACATAACTTCTATTCATATGTATATGACAGTTTGACTAAGTTCTTCACTTAACATAGGTTCATTTTGATATTGAATAGATGCAATTTATTAACATGATTGCAAAAGAACAGATTAATAGATTAAGGAAAATTAGATTTTCCCCTTTTTAGCTTGTTTTATGGATTTCATGATTCACATTTAACTTTCTCATGTGGGTAAAAAACCCTCAGTTTTCAATAGTAAATCTCAAAATTGTTACAACTCAAAGGAATTATAGGGGCACTGTCAAGTTCCTCCAATATGTTGATGTGGGAATCAAGAGTCAGAGGAGTTATTTTCCCAAAGTCATACAGCTGATTAGAAGCAGAAGTGGATCAAAATAAGGATTTCATGGCTTACAAGACCAGTGTTAGTTTCTCCATAAGAATAAAATAAAACTCAGTCGAAATTTCTATAACAAATTTTTAGTTTGGAGCTCAAACACTGGTCTTTAAATATTTTTATATAGTTAATATAAACATTTTTAATAAATGCAATATATCCATTCTTGGAGTCTAACCAATAACTCAAAAATATCTATGCATTCAAATTATTTAGACTAAAATTAATGAATGTAGCCTTAACTAAATTTAAATAAATGTATTTCTATTTTAAAACTAGAATAATTCAAAGAACATTGTATTAATTATCTATTGCTATATAACAAATTACTCAAAATTGGTTCGGAAATTCTGGGGGTGACCTGTAAAACTGGTTTTGGCTCAGAGTCTCTCATAAGGTTGCAGTCAAGATGTTGGCCAGAGGTACAGACATTTGCCACTTGACGGGCGAGAGGATGCACTCCCAAGGTGGTTCACTCACAGGTGTTCCAAGTCGGCGCTGCTTGTTGGCAAGTGGCCTTGGTTCTTTACCACATTGACCTCTCCACAGGACTGCTCAGGTGTCCACATGACATGACAACTAGCAATTCAAGGGACACCAAAGTGGGAAGCTGAAAATGTCTTTTATGATGTAGTCTGGGAAGCCACACTAATCATTCCCACAAAATTCTGTTGGTTTCATGGGTCAGCTTTATTCAGTGTGGAAGGGCACTAACAAAGGTGTGAATATCATGAGTGAGAATCATCGTGGGCCATATTGGAGACTGACTATCACAAATGCTCACAACTACATAGCACATGAAGTGTCACTTACTGAAAGTATGGAGTTGTCCAATAGGAATATCTGAGAAATGTATTTAGTTCCAATTCTTGGGATGTAGAAATCATAATTTTTTATAAAAAATTTAGGTTGTAATAATTTTAAATAATCTTAAAATTCTGAGAACAATACTAATAAAAATGATTAAGCAGTTTAATATTTTTTGTGTGCTGTACCCATTTTAATCATCACAGTGATTATCAGGTATTATATTATATCAGTTTTACAGATAAGAAGCCTGAGACACAGAGAACTTAGGTAACAGTTCACAAGGCTATTAAATGGAGGGCCAGAATACAAATCCAGGTTTTACTGCTGAAAGCCCATAGGTTTTGTCACTGCCTTCTTACTAAAGAGCACTCTGTTCCAAATTTCTGAATATTTGCAAAAAATATGTATATATATTTTACCACTTGGAGCAAGTAATATTGTATTTTCACTAGTATTTCTGAATTATGTTGACTGGAAGGATTGTAAAGTAGAAATAAGTACTGTTTCAATTGTCTTCCTTTCGATCAGAAACTGATACTCGAGCTTTGGCAAAAGAGAGACAAAAAAAGGACAACCACAACCTCAGTGAGTATATTTTCCTTTTTTCAAAACAAAATTAATTAATGCAAGAGGAAATGCAGAATTTAAAATGTGTGATGTTTTATTGTTGCCCCATAAATATTTTGAGGTCAGATGACCAGAAGTGTACATGCTCACTGGTAGAGCTATGTTGGGAAATTTAAACAATGCGAACTCTCAGAAAAGCTAGACATTTTTATGAAGTTCAGCACCTCAAGTTCTCTCCTTGATCATTCTCTCTCTCTCTCTCTCTCTCTCTCTCTCTCTCTCTCTCTCTCTCTCTCG